CTCCTTTCGTTCTCGGTTTCGTACTACTAACTACTCGTAACGGAACGTTACCCTACCTTCTACTCTTCTCTCCTACGAACTACTCTCGTAGTACTCAACTACCTCCTCTCTCTCTCTCTCTCTCTCTCTCCTCCCCTCAACCCCCCCAAAAAAAGACCACCTTTCTTATTCATATTTGCTTTTGGCATTTCAGGCGAGAAATAATGTATTCCCCTCAAATGCTGTGGAGGATAAATCGGGTCTTGTTCCAGTAAGCCCCTGTGTCACCACCATTGGTTTTATCGGCTCTTTGATTTCCTTCATGCTTTACCATTTTTCTCAATTTTAAATTATTAATTTTGTTTCCTTGTTTGATAATTTTGTTTTCTTTGTTCTATTCTCTATTTTGTTTTGATTGAATTAGAAGACTGCCATCTCCTAATCTCAACTGATTTAAACTTCCTTGTTTGTTGCTGTAGAGTGGAGGTCATAGCAGGAAGAACGATCTCTGGGTTTCGAGTCTCTCGAAGTTTTACTATGGATGCAGCAGTTCGAGTAATAAATTTTCATGTAAATATTACCTCTTCTCATATTTTTCTCATTTCATTTCCCATTTTTTAATAAATTTATACATATACCGCATTTTTCTCACTTGAAATGCATACTTGATTTCTAGTTTCTGGATTTATTTAGGTCAGCGGATAGGAAAATTAATAATTGATTGGGTTTGTAGGGATTCTGCCATTATTGGATTCATGTGCCAATTATAGTTTGGACTGCACTGTTCAAGTTTGTTGGAATTGTTGAGATGATTTGGATGCCAAAAGACTCGATGGAGATGGATGACATGGACGTGTTGAGTGATACTATTTAATGCTGAAATTAAATTATTTGATTTGGACTAATACCTAGTATTTCTCTAGAAGCTTTTAAGATTTTGGTACTTGTGATCACTTCATTTCCTGTCTGGAACATTATTTTTATAGCTCACTAAGTCTCCATTCCAGCTAAGTGTTATGCACCATTTTGTTTTGTTGAAGAGGAAGAGGTTGATAATGAGGATGAACAGCGAGTCAGTGGCAATTGGTGTCTTTAAAAATGAGACGTCCTGGGGGTGTTTATGTGGTTGTTGATGGTAGTTCATGGTTGTATAGGACAGAGGAAATGGATGCCAGTTTATGCTACCTATGTGGTTGTGGTCTTTGTTAATGGCTGTTTAGCTGGATAAGACATGATGTCTGGGTGGCGATTTCCAATATAACTAGGTTGAAAAAGAGGGTGGTAGTGTCTTGAACTGGATTTTACTTCCAAAATGAGGCTTGCATGTGCCATCAATCCTACCAATTTGTTGACGGTAATAGGTGATTGGCTCTTCATCTACTGATTGGGAGGAGAACTTCTTAGACATTTGACTGTAAGTGCACCTAAACTGATACAAGAGTTTAAGAGCATCTATCATAAACAAACAAAAAAAAAAAAAGAAAAAAAAGAAAAAAAGAAGAGAGAAATTGACCTACTTTTATATCGGATCATTGACCCTTATGTGGAGATCAAACCAAGCATTTAGTAGCGTTCACCTTTTAGATTTGAAGAGCCCTGGGGTTAAAGAGTTGGTAAAGATTTGTCATAGGATGATCAAGTATATGGGCTTTTCCTGAAGTGGTTGCTTACCTAACATATACTTAAAGAATGTATGCAAATGTTTGAATATGTGGGAAACTTACATGGTTTTGGAGGGGTACGAATATTAATAGGTGAAAGAACTAGTGTTTGGGAGGAGAATGATGGAAATAGCAGTAATAACATCCGAGCTGGATGCAGAAATCTCTTGAATCATGCAATTTGAATCAAATGAATTTTTTTTTTGAACTGCCAATTCTATTTTGATGGAGGTGATCGTAACACTATTCTTCCATAGGTTTGTCTAAGTTAGGCAAACACAAATTCTTTGATTACAATCAAAGTGGAAAAATATGAGGTTTGTTACACATACGTAGGGAGGGTGCTATTGTAATTTCATTTGGAAGTTGTATAGTGCCATAGCAGGTCCTTGGCCAATGATGCATAATTTTGGTGACAAGTTGATCTGAATGAAATGTGCAAGTATGAATCGCGTGAATCGATAAAGGATAGGATCAGCTAATACACTCGCAATTGAAGAAGTCTAAGCATTATGTGTGGCTGTAGTTGATAGTCGAATGGCTGTAGTTGATAGTCGAATATCTACTACTTATAGTACTTCTGCAAGCGTTTACTCATTTGATAAAAGAGACAAATTGTTGATTTGACAGTTGTGGATATGTTGTGGCTCTGTTCTGAGGGCGATATGCATATGAAGCAATTTGGCCCTTTTGTTACAAGTCACTATCACAAAGACAGCCTCTTTTGGAGAAACAGGACTCTTTATTTCCTATGGATCCCACAAATGATATTAACTGAGGATAAATTATCAAATGGTTAGTGTCCTTGAGAGATTCCTGTTAACTTTGTTCAAGTTGATAAACAGGCTGATTTAATTTGTTGCTATACTTTCTTCAAGTGTTTCCATGCCCACCCTAAAATTGTAATGAGTCAGATTGTGTCCAACCAAACGCCCCATTTTATAAGCAATTTGTCATTTTAGTTGAGCTTGACAATTGTGTCTACATGCTTCACTGTGTATATTTTATAACCAATCTGACCAAATATTATAGTTCTTACCATTCAATCATAATATGTATGTCCTTTTTATTTAATAAAAAAATAAATCTCTTGAAAACAAAAAATGATTATGGTTCCATAATACATAATGAAGATAACTGGGGCACTGTTACTGTCAGTTGTTATGGTCACTTATCAGCAACATGCTCAATACCATGAAAACCCCAATAAAACTAAGTTGCTAGGTCTGAGTTTGAATTTTTAAACAAGTTTTAGTAATATGTATAAAAGGACACAATTTCTATGAGTCTGCGTAGAAATGAGTCACCTCATTAAAATCTATTTTTGAGATGGATTGTTGGACCTAATTTTTAAGGACATGTAATCTCTAACATGAAGATCATGAATATGAAAAAATAAATGAATTTTGAAAATTAAAAATTTGTTATAATTCTATTAAGAAAACATTTGAACTGTTAGTTTCAATTGTTTTTAGATGGACCACCTATGTGCATCCATCTTTAAGATGGATGCTTTATACCTCTGGGACCGCAAATGTAGAAATGCGGTCCCCGCTGCATGAAACAATTTTCCTTTATAAAATCTTGAAAAGTTCAACATTTAGAATGAAAAAATATTTTGAATCTATGATTTCCAAATTTAAATTAGTTCAATCTTGGGAGAGGGGTCACGCAGACCTGGACTTCTATTTTGGACCACCCAAAATATGGGCTCTATTCAAAACTTGAAAGATTAAGGACTATATACCTTCAATTTTTAAAAAATTCACAGCTATTTGTGGTTTGTTCAAAATTCCAAAAAGGAGTAGAAAAATCTAATTGGATGCAGACATACTTGACCACCAAATATTAGAGCAAACGGCGATTTCTAGATAGGTGGGGACATTGGTTTTTAATAGTCATTTTCTTCTTAATATTTTTTGCTTGGATCTAAACATTCGAACAAGAAGAGAAGATGATCTAGTGATTTCTTTCTATATCTTAAGTCCCCAATTGCAAATCTGAAATATAAATGAAGTACACTAATTGAAGGTAAAGTATAAACCTTTGGGAAAGCAACTGATTAAGGACCTTTCTGATATGAGGATCTATACTGAAAGCCTGAGCTTCACAGAACTATGGAGAACAACACTTTCGATTTAACGCTGAATATTTGCCACATGGTTTATAGCAAAAGCAATCCTTTAAAGAGGTTTTGGCATCGTGTGTATATATATATATATATATACACACACACACACACACACACACGCTACAATACATAAGAAGGGAATTAAACTGCAGTTCAGGTAAACTAATCAAGCCCTAGACAGAGTGCTAAAAATTCCCTTAAGGCGATGTCGTATAAATGTTGAAAAATATGATGATGATCATCATCATTTGAGCCTTATCCCAACTATTTGGGGTCCCCTACACGAATCAATAATTCTTCTCAATATAACATCTATACAGCTCTTGCAAGCAATTGGAAAATAGAACCTCATTTGCGTTGAAGCAAGGAACCCAAATTGGCCATCCCTTTTTTTTTGTTTAGGTTTTTTAAAATTTTGGGTCCATCATTGGCCATTCCCAATGTTCTCTACATTACTTCCTATACTGTTTCCTGTTGGGTAAGATAGGACGGAAGTATAATGTGAATGTACCAAAATAGTAAATATGCTGTCTAGCATGCTCTCTCAACTAAATATACTCATTTGTATTATATGTTGTGCCAAGGCAAAAAGATTATTTGAGTTTTCAAATCATGTTGGTTTGTATTGCATAATTAATCCTGTACAGTTATTCTTTATTTTTTTTTTGAAGTTTTTATAGTTATTCTTTATTATTTTGGTAATTGAGTTTTAGGTTATCTGTGATGGGAAATTCAATAAGTAAACGCTGGATTTTGGATGAGGACTTGCTTCTCCTGTAGCTCCTTGTTGTTGATATATGATTATTAGTTTTATCGATTTTCTCAGGCAATGTATGCTGTAAACTATTTGTATGAAGTGATTTTAGATGCTTTGTCTGTTTTTCTTATGCATGCTTCAACTTACAGCTGTTGAAGCGAACACACGTCCAAATCGTTACTTACTGATTGCGACTAGTGGAGGCTTAAATCAACAACGGACAGGAGTGAGTCAATTTACCCTTAGGATGCTATCTTATTGTCAAGGATGCGTTTTTCCTTCATCTCAATTTAAGTGTGAAATAATGACAATGATATTCTTGCAGCAAGATTATTAGCTGTGGCTTCTAAACTTGGTAAAGAATACTTGATAATTTGATAAATTAATATAGAAGCAACTTAAGGAGTTCTATTTCACATCCTTTGTTGATGTGCTGAACCACTTTATCTTTGCATTATTGTATCTTAATTTTGTGTTTGATAATGAACTATTTTCACCGATTTTATACTTTCTTTACATCTTTCATCTGTTGTATAATAAATTTCTGTAGTTTTCACGAAATTTGCTCCAAGGTTGCCCTCCAAGAAATTGTAGGCTTCTTGTATCACGTTTTATCCTTGCCAATTCGGAAAGCTTTGTAAATCACGTAAAGAGTATGACAGTTGTGATATGTAATCACATTTGTAATACATAGCTGGACATGCGTCTTTGTTGGATTTCTTTAGTCTTTCTGAAAGGCTTTTGCAGTGCTCTTCAGTGGATTATATTTTCTTTTTTGGGCTGAAAGGATGCCTATGAGATGGTGGGCTGGGAGCTCTGAATTCCCATGCAGTTCCTAAAGACCGCATGCTTTATGTATGATGACGTCCGTCATGCTCTTCTCTAATGTGGAGATTCAGTGGGTACATATCAAGTAAAGTTTTAGCTGCTGAGGATAGGTAAACTGTTGTCTGTTGGAGGGGTAGATTTTTGGTAGGAAGCTTGGAAATGGAGCTGTTAGGTTTAACAGGAGGTTTTGACAGATGAGTGTGAGAAATGAGGGCTACGGACGCAGTTGCCTTCAAGTGCGGCATTTCTTGTTTTGTGTATTATTGATAAGGATTATGTTATAAATGGTAGAATGTGTCCATTTTTGGCACAGACTGATCTATTACCAAGATTTCTGAGGAACCCCCTTTGTCTTCAACTTTGCATGACTGACTGCATAATTGAATGGAATTTCCATGCTTCAACTTAGCCTTTCCAATTTGTTGTGAAATATTTGAATATGTTATCAACCCCTCAATCTTTTTTCATCTAAAATGAGTCAAATGTCTTAACAACAAATTTATGATTGGTAGATCTCCATTTTTGTGCTTGTAAAGCCCCATATTAAATTAGTGTTGACCTTCCATAAGAGCCCGAAACGAATTTCCAAACAAGTTTAGTACCTTCTCTTCATGAAAGAAATTGAAGCATGACTTGAATATTCATCAGCATTCAAATAATAAGGAGAGCACAACCGAATGTAGGAATTTGAGCTTTAAGCCATGCATACCTGAGGGTTGCATCAAGAGGTTGAGATGCCCTTATGATGAGGAAAACTTAAAATTAGTTGCTTTTTGCATTAGATCCGACCTCTGAGTTCATACATGAGACAAGCAACAATTTGACTAGTTGATCTCATGCACCTACATATTTGGAGGTCAAGGCTTAAAACTCAAAACTAGGCTTGGCCTCTTAGGACTCAGTATGGTCCCCTTGGATGAAGAGACTCGCTTAGTCACCAATCAATTTGGCAAGATGAACCCCCACTAGTTATTGGAATTGCTAAGGTGTGGAGTCTGCACTCTACAATGCCCATTGGTCTCATGTAATATGTCAAAATATTGCCTGGTTGACTAATTATTATATATCATTCCCTTTAATCCTAGTAGGCACTAGATTTTTCTTGGCATATTCTTCCAATTGATCTCTGAATCAGAAATTAATTCCAGATAATACTTAGTAAAATCATAGATTAAAAAGTATTATCTTTGGCTTACAAATTCTCGCTCCAGCCCGCAAGGCAACTTTTGAGTCTCCGCACTAGCTTTACGCGAGCAGTTTGGCTAGGATAGTGTTGGTAGGAAAGATTAACAAAAGCACATTAACATGGCATGTAATAAAGTTAAATTTAAAATTATAAGTTTCAACAAACTTCTCTCTCAAAAATTTAACAATTCGAAATATGTACATATTCAAATGATGTCATGGTGTATTTTTTAGTTCCCCTGATAATCAATTATTTCTCGTATTCTTTTGTTGAATATACCCTTCGCTTGGACTTCTTGCTTCCCACGGTCCATTACATCAGAAAGAGAATTGACTCCCAGCTTCTTATCCTAGTATATGAGTCTAAGCACCTTAAAAAGAGAACCACGGCTCTTATCACTTGCTAACTTTTACCCTAAAAGTCCCACCCCTACATCCCTCATTGATGCAGATCTGGAGACTTTTGAACTCTGACCTAATCTTGGAAACAAATTATTTTATGTTAAGCTAGCTGCCCCATAACTATGGTTACGAACTATTCATATTCAATAACGAAATAATTGATCTCTATGGTGGGTCTCCTCATTATGAATTTCCTCATGGTGTCTAAGATGAAAGTGAAAGATTGTTCATAGACAATCTTTCGCAGATTGTTTTTCTTTACTCGTCTCTTTAATTCTTAAAGCTACATATTGTGTGTTGCACACTGTCCAAAGCAGATGATGGTTGGCTTTTGTTCAAAAGCCAATGCTGAAGTTTTTGTGGTTGTTTGCTTCATCAAGTAACTGTCTAGAATCTGGGTTGTTTTTACTCATCAGGCATCTTAAACTACACCATCTAGCAATTTGAATGTGATCCTTGGAAATTTAAAATGCCAATGATAATTCATACTCCATAGTTCTAAGAACCATGATCCATTATGGATTACATATGATTGACATATTCTTCTTTTCTCATCTCTCAGTGCATCTGATCTTCACAACATTGATATTAACCAGGGGCTCACAGTGTGAGTAGCAAATTAAACCATCTAAAGTGGTTGTTTAGAGCCCTTTCCCACCTCTTCTATTGTGATGAATCATGTTGTTCTAATTCTGAATATTACCTCAGACTGGTATATTTGAGTCATTGTTTTATGCAATGTAAGGGAAAACAAAATCTCAAGTATCAAGGTTGATCAATGGCACACTGCTTCCTCGGGAATTTACATGTGATGGCTAAGGAAGATTGTAACCTTCTTGTACAAAAAATAAAGTCTTATTGTATCATCATCATCATCACTATCTCAGCGTTATCCCAACTATTTGGGATCAGCTATATGAATCCTATTCCCCCATTCCACTCTATCAAGGGTCACCACCTCAGTCCGACCATAGATCATCATATCTCTTCTTACTACTTCCATCCATGTCCTTTGGGGCCTACCTTTTACCCTTCTAGAGCCTTCCACTTGAACCAAATTGTCCCTCTTGACCAGTGTTGTTTTAGGTCGACCCTGAGCATGGCAAATCCACCTAAATCTACTTTCCCTTATCGCCTAAGTTCCCTCTGATGCGTCTGAATGGTATCCTTTCTTGTCTTGCCACTCATCCATCTCAATATCCACCTAAAAACATCTGAATGCTATCATTGGCCGAAGGCTGGAAGAATCTTATGGAAGGCTGTTGTTGCAGCAATTTTATGGGTTATTTGGTTAGAAAGGAATGCCAGAATCTTCCAAGGTCGCAAAAAAGAAGTTCTAGCTCTCTTCCACAAGATTACTTCTTTAGTAATCTTTTGGGCCTCCAACCATAGGGCCTTCTCTGGGATACTGGCTAACACCTTCCCATCTCCAACGGGAAAACATTCTCCATCTCCAACCACAAAAGACCCAAAGACCCAACAACTGGTTGGCCCCTCCAGAAGGCACCATCAAACTTAACTTTGATGGAACCCAATCTCAGCAGGAGCTGGTGGAGTTTTCCTCGACCATCAACGCAACATCTTGTTAACTTATTCCAAGCACTTAGGCCATGAAGATTCTCAGTTCGCTGAAGCCATGGCTTTGCTGTTGGGAATCAAACGCTTTAACCGTACTTGGGGAGCACAACTTTGTGTAGAAAGAGACATGCAAAATATTATTTCCTAGGCAGCTGGGACCACACCACCTCCGTGGTACCTATCCTCTATTTTCGATGAGATTGCTTACATTTAGAGGGATATGGGCGTCTCATGGCAGCATACTTAGAGGACGTCGGACGAGCTCGCCGATCTTCTGGTAAAAGACGGAGCTAGGGCTCTAGCAGAAGATCCCGTCTAGTCGAGTACTTTTTGGGTTGCAGTTGTTCATTGGAAGGTGCCGGTCCATTTCTTGCTCTGAACCACTTTCACTCTTGCTGTAATTCAATAGTATCCGCCGGTCCATCTCCTTTGTTGCTCTGGACCATAGTGGGCGCACCTTTGTTTACTCACGATCTAGTACATCTCTTGTAAACGAGCAATCCTATAAGCCCCAATTTCTCCTTCTGTATTATGTTACTCCACAACAATACAAAAATTAACTTTATAAACAAAAGAATCCTCATCTCAATCTCAGCTACACATTCGATGAATATGTTGTTTCTTGACTGATCAACACTCTATCCCATAAAGCATGGCTGGTCTTATAGCCATCTTATAGAGTTTCCCCTTCTATTTCATTGGTATGCGACGATCACATTAGACTCCGGAAGTATATCTCCACTTCGTCCACCCAGCTCTTATGCACAATATCTTCCTCAATCTCTACATTCTCATGGATTATCGACCCAAGCTATCAAAAATAATCTCTTTTAAGAACTTTTTGGGCCATCTCTCTTAAACAATTCCTTGTTTCTGCTCTTGTATTGCTAAACTTGTATACCATATATTATGTCATAGTCCGACTAATTTTAAAACCTTTTGATTCTAGAGCATCCCTCCAAAATTCCAACTTTGCATTGACTTCATGTCTAGTCTCATCAATCAAAGGCAAAGCTAGGTCATCCGCAAATAACATATACTACGGTACCTCACCTTGTAGATGTCTAGTTAACTCGTCCACAATCAACACAGATATATGAGCTCAATGCTTACCCTTGATTTAGGCCTACTATCACGGAAGACTCACTTGTCATTCCACTAGTTGTCCTTACACTAGTTAGTGCTCTCTTGTACATATCTCTCTCACCATGTTAATATAACATCTAGAGACCCTTTCTTTTCCGATACCCACCAAATTGAATCTCTAGGTACCTTGTCGTATGCTTTCTTTAAATCAATAAATAACATGTGGAGGTCTTTTCTCTTCTTTCTAAACTTCTCAATCAATTGTCTACGTAGGAAAACAATGTCAATTGTTAACCTACTTGGCATAAAACCAAATTTATTTTTTGATACACTCGTTTTATGTCATAGTCGTTACTCAATAACTCTCTCTCACTGCTTCATAATATAACATTGTTTCAGGACTCAAGAAAAATATATGGCAAAAAGTTTACACTTGTTGCCAACTTAACACGTGCCTCCTCCTTTCTCCAGGCTTGGGACCGGCCGTGGCGGAGTTAAATAGCCTTTTTGTATATTTTCCCTATAACCTCACTATCCCTTAGCTCCTATGTAAAGGAAGTTTCCTGCAAGCACATGTACCTTCCATGGGACCTACACTTCTGCTAGAACCTGTGCCTCCTTTTGGTTGATTGCCACCTTGCGCATCCTGCTCTCTCTGGAATGCATGCTTCTGGCCCTTGATAGTGGAACTTGAATCTATCAGCACTAGATTACATTCATAACATTGTTTTATGAGTTCTACTTGTTTGTCGATCTTTCATCATCCATGAAACTTAATTGTATTCTCCATCTCCTTTTCTGGCCTCATTCACTTTATGACACCCAAAGATATCTTTGGTGGGTTTTAGTTCCTTGCTCCTTTCCTAATTAGAAACACCAACCTTGTCTTTCCTGGTGGAATCTATCCTTTTGCATGTCATGAGGAAAATATTTATTAGCTCATCTTGGCTTTTCCTGTGACCTGCATAAGCAGACCAGTAAAAAGGGCTGCATAGAGGGACTGATAAAAGAGAATAAACGGACTAGGCTGAGAGGTGTGACCCAAAATGGGTAAACTTCCTCAAATTCAACATTGCTTATGTGTTATGCAAATAATATATAAAAAAACAAAAATGTTATCTACTTATTGATGGTTCACCTCCCAAAATTATGTTTGAGGAATGTATGCATTGGTTCAACATGGTTACCCATCTTGCTGCATCATTCATCTTCTTCAATTTCTTGACTTGTTTAGGCAACTTTTAATCTCTTTGCAATGAAATAACATTCGATGCAATATTTAATGTTTTTGGGGAAGTGTTGGGACCTTCAAACCATTTCTGGTTGTGAACCCAGAAGAAGCCATAAACCCTAGTTTATTTTGCATTCTTCTTATTTGGTTATCTGGCTATGGATATAATTCAGTTAATATTGCCCAACTGAAAGAGATCCATAATTGCTGCAGATAACTGATGCAGTAGTTGCTGCTCGAATATTAAATGCTACTCTTGTTGTTCCAAAGTTGGATCAGAAGTCATTCTGGAAGGATTCTAGGTTTGTCTTTAGTTTCATGTGGTTTTGAGCATTTGGAGTAGTAGCATGCCTGTTATAATGGTTTTGATTAATTTTGCATATGCAGCGATTTTGGCGAAATCTTTGATGTGGATTGGTTCATATCTTTGCTGTCAAATGATGTGAGGATCATCAAGCAGCTCCCGATGACGGGTAAAAAGCCAGTTGCAAACCCATATTCAATGCGGGTCCCAAGGAAGTGCACTCCAAGGTGCTATCACAATCGTGTTCTACCGGTGCTTTTGAAAAAACATGTGAGTGCTTTTGAAAAAACATGTAAGTGCGTTGAAAATGAATGCATATCTTATGATAGAGCACAGATTTATGGAACATAACTGATGGGTCCACAGGACCTTTTCTCTTCGGGAAATTTTTTTAAATATCCCTTACAATTTGCGATGTCTAAAAAATGTGCCCATTTTTCATAGTTTGTGCTCATATCCTCTTTTTTCAACTTTTTTTCTAATTTACCCAAAATACCCCTAGTGTGGAACATGAAGGAACTCAAGTTCTGATTCACGGTCTTTTCTCTTTTCCTTTTTTTTTAGTCAGATATTGGTTCAAAACTTCCAAGTTTAAAACCTGGCAGTTATTTTGAGGTGATAGAACTGTTCAGAAGTTGAAGTTCTGAAACTTGCTACTTGTATTTTTTATTTATTTTTTCTTTTAGTGATAGATCTGAACTTCTGAACCATGTAAAAGTAAAGCCTTCCAAAACAATGAGTATAGTGTGCTCCTGTGGGAGCACTATATGAAGTCAGTTCCTTGAATTTAAGACTTCTTGAGATCGAAAATCCAAAATTTTCCACTATGAAAATAATCATATGGGATTCTAAATTGGATTTCAAAATTTAAAAAGAAATAATTTGCTCAAGGTACCATGTGTATAATGTGCACCTGAAGGAGGAAAATGCACTGAAAATTTTAGAAAAAGGAAATTTGCATTTAATGAGATGATGTCAGCTCATCAAATGCACCCATTAGATGCATGGAAGTCCACCTACTTTATGTTAACTCTATTTAGTATATTGTGCTCCTGCAGCTGCGCACTATACACATTCATCTGGAAAATGCAATTTCTTTTGGGAAATTTTGGAATCCTCTTTAGAATCCTAGATGATTATTTTCAAAAAGAAAAATTTGGATAGTCAATTTCAATAAGTTTATTTATTTGAGGGACAAACTTCACAATTTGTTCCCTGGGAGAACACTATACTCCCTAATTTGTTTCAAACCTTAACTAGCGCGCCTGTTCGAAACTTATGGGTCTGAAATCTGAACCAGTATATCACTCAAAAAAAAGAACAAAAAATAGAACCAGTATGGAACTTCAGGTTCCGAACCGGTCTATCACTGAAAAAAATACAAGTGGCCCTGTTTATAACTTGAAGCTCCAGAACAATATGATGCCCGTTCGGAACTTGAAGTTTTGAACCGAGGGTATTTTGAAAAAGTTGAAAAATCTCAAAAACTATGGACAGAAGCAACAAATACATGAAAAACAGGGTATTTTTTATATACCAAAAATTATTAGGGATATTTGTGAAATTTGCCCTTTTTCCTTTATGGATCTGTGTGGTGTTAAAAGGAAAAGATGTTATCTAAAAGTTTATCTGAATGTTGTAGAATATTTTATTTGATTTTATGCTAATTTAGTACATAAATAACTAAAAGATCATAGAATAGTAGTTTTCTGTGTAGTTTCTTTTTACCTTTTCTACTCTTTTCTTTCATTTGGTGCCATAACTGATATACTGTGATTCAGGTTGAAGTTATCTGGCTTCTTGTTACCTTGTCATTTTTATCAGTTAGTTTGTGCTTCTTTTTGTGGCTCTATGCTGTTGGAGATTTAGGTCATTTTCTTGATATGGCCTATGACTTATTTTCTGTCATGGAATCTATTAAAGCCAGTCTGACTGTTGTAGATGTTTATGACCTTTTTAGTTCTCCCCTCTCCTTTGTTTCTTGTCTTTAAGTCATTATGTAATTACCTCTTTCTTTCGTGGTTACTAAATTTCCATGTCATTTCTAGTGAATAAATTTATCTCCTGTGGTTTCTTTCCATTGGAAGAAGTTGAAATTCACGGAGAATATTGCATGTTTGCATTGAGTACTCTTTTTTTACTAGGATGCATTTCATGGTGAAATATATGCTGACATTCTAGTTCTTTTTTATGTCAATACAGGCGGTTCAACTCACTAAGTTCGACTACAGACTGGCGAACAAATTAGACAGTGACCTGCAGAAGTTGAGATGTAGAGTCAATTATCATGCTCTGAGATTTACAGAGTCAATTTCAGAAATGGGTCGCACTGTAGTCCAGAGAATGCAGGAGAAAAACAAACAGTTTATCGCCCTTCACCTAAGGTAAGTTGAAGAGTGAGCACATCGTGAAAGGATTTTTACTTCTGTTAATTTGTTGCTTGCAAAATAATTAGTTGAAAGGCTCATGTGGAAGATACGACCTTATATAAAAGTTCCACATTTGATAGTCATTTTTTTTTGGAAATATAGTTTTTCGTAAAGGCAGATATTGTGGGAATAGTTTGGGGTATTTATATAATCGGATGCCTATTACAGGTTCGAGCCTGATATGCTTGCTTTTTCGGGATGCTATTATGGTGGGGGTGAAAAGGAAAGGAGAGAATTAGGTGCAATACGCAAGAGGTGGAAAACTTTGCATGTAAGTCAATGAGCTTTATTGTATAATGGGGATTAAGATGAAAGTATCCAATGGACTATGGAAACCATAGGCCATTGGGTCCGCACTATCCGATGTATTAATGGAAGGTGATGGAGGGAGAATGCGACTTGGCAGAACAAGTGATCACCAGTCTGATGGGTCACATTCCTTTCATCACGTTCCATTTCATTGTAAATTGATAACTATTATGGACTATGTTTTTGCATTGTCCATTGTATTATATTTCATTTTCCTAGGTGTTTGTCCTACATCTGGTTATTTTGTGGTCTCTGTGTTATTTAAATTTGTGCAGACAAGAAACCCAGATAAGGAAAGGAGGCATGGAAAGTGCCCCCTCACTCCGCAAGAGGTGGGACTCATGCTGAGGGCATTGGGTTTTGGAAATGATGTTCACATCTATGTTGCATCTGGTGAAGTATATGGTGGTGAGGATACTTTAGCTCCTCTAAAAGAGTTCTTTCCAAATTTTTACTCAAAAGAGAGATTGCTCAGCAAAGAGGAGTTGATGCCATTTTCATCATTTTCTTCTCGCATGGCTGCCCTCGATTACATTGTTTGTGATGAAAGCAATGTCTTTGTGACTAACAACAACGGGAACATGGCTAGAATGTTAGCTGGCCGTAGGTACAATGTTTCTCCCTTCCCCTCTTTTTCTAAGTTTTGCAAGGACAAAGATCCTTAGTGCATGAGGGAAGTATTCCCCTACCAGAAACCACAGTTTATTTATGTTGTGAAGATCGATGAAATGATAAAATTAATAGCGAGGGAGTGGGCCAAATTTGGATCATGACCTGTTTTGGTGATTCTGGTCTTTCCATTCCTTCATCAGACAGTCATAAGCCCAATAGTAACTTCCATAGCCTATTGGATGGTATTATACTTTGTAAATAGAAAAGCTGGTGACTTATTTTTACTCGGCTCATTTACTGATTGCAGGAGATACTTTGGACACAAGCGTACAATTCGGCCAAATGCTAGAAAACTGTATTCTTTGTTCATAAACCGTGCTAATATGACCTGGGAGGCCTTTGCCTCGAGGGTTCGAACTAGCCAAAAAGGTTTCATGGGAGAACCTAATGAAGTTAGGCCAGGTAGGGGTGAATTCCATGAGAACCCTTCAACTTGTATATGTGAACGGTCGGAGGCGAAGAAGATGGCGATTTTCAATCAAAGACTCGGCAAGATAGGTACCAGTAAAAGTGGAAAAACAAATATGAGCAAAGGTGTCGAACAAGAAGTGGACATGCAAGTTGCAGATGATGAAGAAGAGATGTCTGATTTGGACTACACTGATGAAGACGTCACACTTAGAGAAAAAGGAGAGTATAATGGAACAAATTCAGATTACGACATCTTTTTCAAGTCAGATGAACCGGAGTTGGAAGATATACTCTCTGATTAGTGATCTGGCGTCTTCTTTAACAAGCGTTCTTGCACTAAATCCATTCTTTCATCATTTTTTTGTTAGGCTTAATTTGAGAAGCCTTAGTGGCATTTTGTTTCTCTGACCACTGTCTCAGTGCTATGCTCTTGTAGATATGCCTCAGCAACACTGTACAGCGGCTCTATTTCTTTAAAGCCCCACCAAAAATATCAAGCAACATTGACTGGAGTTGCTGATCATTGTGCCGATATAAAATGCGCATACTTGTTTGTGCAGTCCTTTTCTTACATGGTTTCTCCATGTGCACATTTTGCAATGTAAGTTGGCAATTTTGTAATTGCATTTGGTGAGGATTTTATTTTTAATGCATGATTGCAGTCGACCATTTTTTGCTTTCAGCAATGGAAGTTTGAATTCACTGTGACAGATAACATGGTTGAGTTTATATTCAGCTCCACATCGATCTTAAAGCCCTAGCTGTTTCATTCGTAGAAAAAGTTATACACCCTTCAAAAACTTCTTTACTTATTTATGCTGTGTGATTTCTTGCAAATTCAATACCTGGAAAATGAGATTTAGTAAATTCATGCAAGTTGGGTGCGGTACATGAGGAATGGTGGTGTGTTGTAAGCACTAGGTTGTTGTGGTTCATAAGAAATGTTTTAGCTTTTTGCCCGCTTGTTTGCTCCATGTTTCCTATGTTTTTATTTTCATTGTTTATGTATTTTATGTGTCCTATTAAGATTAGGAATCTTCTATTCTTATAACCTTTTGTATCCTTAATTGAACAAAGAAAGAACTAGGATTTGTGAATGCTGATGGGCTTCTGACTTCCTGGGTCTTGAATCTCCCTTAACATAAGAAAAAATACTTTAGACTTGATTCTCAAAGCCACATTGTCAGTTTGCACATTACCGTACTCAAAATTGAAGTTTAAGAAAGCGTTTGCATAAGGGTGTTAGGGAGATGGGAAAATAAGAAAAAATACTTTTAGACTTGATTATCAAAGCCACTTTGTCGGTTTGCACATTACCATACTCAAAAATGAAGTTTAAGAAATCGTTTGTGTTGGCAAATAAGGGTGTTAGGGAGATGGGAAAATAAGATGCCGCCTGTGGAAACGCCTCCATACATGCAAGTCTGCATGCATTGATTGTGTTTGTGTATGTTTGCATGGAGGTGTGCGTATATGTATTTTTAAGTATGCATGTATTTGCACATGGTGTATACATGTATTGGTGAGTAAAGCAACTGTTGGTGTACAAGGCGAGCAATTGAGTTTCCTGAAGCTGTCGGGCATCATCAAAGTCTAGATGTTAACATTAGAGGGCTGGGTGTTCTGTTCCTTGAACAATTGAGTTTTCTGCGATTGTTGGGTGAAGTCTCGATTGAAATGTCGACAATGGAGGGGTGGGTTGTGTTGTACTTCTGCTCAAAATTCATCAATTTGTTCACATACTATCCTTAAATTTCAAATCACAAAGAATGGTGCAAAGTCCAAGCCCAGATAACTACAACAGAGGGCTGAGTTGTGCTGTTTCTAGAGAAATTGAGTTTTCTGCAGTTGCTGGGCAACATTTCAGTCCAAATATCTGCAACTGAGGGCTCAGATGTGTCGTTCCACGGTCTGAAGTGTGCCATTTCGCTCCTACTCTATCCCCAAATTGGAAAACTGGATCCTGGTCATGTTAGAAAGTAGGTTCTTCTGAGAAAAGGAGGGTGAAAACCCTCTTAATTAGTAACCAAGCTGAAAAGGTTGCATGCAGCTTTCCAAACCAGAAATTCTCAATCTTTGGTGACTAAAAATCTCACGAAAATCTCTTGGAATTGAAAAAAAAAAAAAAACCATGTGCCAAATGAGGACATCATTCAGTGTGTAATAACCATTTGATGAGGGTGCTTATCTATTTTGAGTAATTCAGCTGTAGGATTTGAAGCATGGAGTAGTGTTGAACAACTTAACCAATTAGAGGGTGGCCTTTCCATTTCCTGACATGATTTGAGGTTGTTCTAATAAAGATCGGATATGAATATCAATGTACAGTGACCGTTTTTTTTAAAACTCATCATCATGATACAATGGGATAGAGGAGCAAACGAATTTTACTAGGTCAATGCACAAGGGTAGTTAGTGTCAATTTTTTTGAGAATGAGAAAAAATAATTCAAAAGAGATAGAAATTAGGAAAAAGTTTATATAAGGTTGCAACCCTATGCTGTTGAAGTAAGGTGCACCCAGTGTTTTAAAAAACGCCGAGTCGAACCGGACTCGCCCGGTTCGACTCGGAAATCGTGAAAAGGGGACCGAATCGCCTAAAAAATCGGAAATCTTCCGGTTCTAGAGAGAACCGGACGATTTTGTACAGTGAATTGCCGATTCACTGTACGGAATCGGCGAGTCCGAACAGTGAATCGGCGAGTCCATACGGAATTTATTTATTTATTTATTTTTTTTTTTTGTAA